ACGGTAAGTCTTTTGTATACAGAATATATTAAATTTTCCTTGTTTCCCGGAAAAATCTCACGGTTATATAGGATTCTAAAAGAGCGCAATACTCAATCGGAAGTCATGATTTTAGTTTTTGCATAAGGAATTCATACTATACGTTGTCAAGCGCTTGGGCAACGTCAAGGAATACAGCTCAGCATACGTTTCCCTCCTCCAGGGATTTTTCTATTTCTGATGTTATTCTGTGAATTCGTTCTATTGTTGAATGCTTCTTTCTAAAACCGAACTGATACGATGGGATTAACTGCTTTTCGTCGATTATAGATTTTAATCTTAGATAAATAAATTTTTCAAAAAGTTTTGAGATTTGTGGAAATAGTGAAATTGGTCTGTATGACGAGACTACGTGAGAACCCTTTCCTGGCTTAGGAACCATAACAACTTCGGCAACTTTCCAAAGAGTTGGGAAATGTGTCAGACGATTTGCTGTATTGAAAAGATAGGTGAGCTTACGTAAAAATTTGTATGGTAACTGCTTTGACACTTCACTGCTTTTTAATTTCACTTTTAAATTCACTAATGGTAGTTGCTGGGATTACTGCATGATCCTTTTAAATACTACTGAAGTTTGGTACTTGAGCTAGGTGTTTTACAAATGCAATAGCTTTATCACTATCACTTCTAGCCATGTATTGGAAGCAATTTTTAGTGGTGCAACGGGGCTTGTTGGACGTTTCCGATACTTTGTACTTTTCCAGAGTGAGTAATCATCTTTTTTGTCAGCGAATAGTTGAGATAAATATTTATTAATTGATTCATTCTTAATATGAGCGATTTCTCGTTTTAATTCAGCTGTTGCCTTATTAAGGTTGCTTTTGTCGCGTGGTGAGCGTGTTTGTTGCCATTTCCGTCGTAACTTTCTTTTCTTAATAAGGAGGATTTTTATTTCTTTACGGTAATTTGAACTTATAGTATTCGGCTTTATCTCCGGAGTATTATCCCAAGCTGCTGTTGAATTTCCTTCGTTAATGTGTTAACTTTTAACTCTAGTGGTTCAGTTGTGATTTTCGGACACTTCATTTTAGTCCGAAGTATTTGTTTGAACGAAGTCCAGTCAGTATTTTTGTTGTTTAGCTTCAGGCTAAGATATCTTTTAATGATTGTTTCACTTAGTGTTAAATATATTGGGGAGTGATCAGAGCTTAGATCTAACCCACCTTCTATTTCTAGGAAATTTCGAGATATCTTCCTGGTTATAAAAAAGTTTATTACATCTGGTATTTTGTTGGTGTCCGTTGGCCAAAGTTCTGGTCGATCAAACTCACACCCGGCTTCTTGAGCTGCCTGGAATAAGTCTCGCCCTTTAACTGTCGTTAAGCGCGATCCCCAGTAAACAAGCTTATCGTTAAAATCGCCTCCCATAACAAATTTATGTGGGTGCATATTGAGAAGTCCGTTATATTCTTCAACGAGGATTTGTATCTCGGCGGACAATATATTTATATCATTGCTTTTAATATAATGGTTGTTGTTTGAATATTGTGCTTACTGATTTTTATATCCTTAAAATGTTTAATGCCGTTTTTAACAATAACGGCAGTGCCTCCCTCGCACAATTACTAGGGTGGATTATATGATAGATATAGTATTTTTTGAAAGTTGTGTGGCTGTGTGTCGTAAAATGGGTTTCTTTTTGTAAAATAAGTTGAAACTCTTTTTGGTGCTTTAATAGTCCATTTGCATTCAATGTCATAACTCGGAGAGCACCATTCTTGCCTTAGATTTTGTTTTACTTTTTTTTTAGGTTACCTAAACGGCTGCACAGATCGATATTGAATTTTTCTTGTTTAGTTAACATCTCAAGGATTTGAGTTAGTATGCCTTCGGTCATCACTGTGTTCTTTCTCTGTCTCTTATACACATCTAGATGTGTATAAGAGACAGCGGCTGCACAGATCGATATTGAATTTTTCTTGTTTAGTTAACATCTCAAGGATTTGAGTTAGTATGCCTTCGGTCATCACTGTGTTCTTTCTTTCACCACGTTAGAGTTGTTTTTAGTACTTCAGAAAAGATCCGTGAAAAGAGAATGGACACACACCATCTCTTCTGCGAAAATTTAAGGTTCTTTGCTTGTCTACGAAAGTAAAGATGATCATAAAATATAGTTGTAAAAGCGACGGTGATTTTGCAAACAAGACAGTTAGGACCTTCGGCAGGAATAATTTTTATTCGTCCGTGCTGTAGTTGGAAAGTTCTACATGGACATCCTATCGATCCTAATCGATATCTTTGATATTCTGCCTTTTGAAGCAATTGCCCGATGCATCTCGCATGTACATTTGTTGGACGGCGGGCAGTATACAGGTTTTATGTTGTTGAAACATATGTTCAAACTTAACATTTCTTAGTTTTTTTTGGTTTGAATAGAAGATAATTTAATACGAAAGATAAAAAACTTTGCCCCAACTCCATAGGACGTTTAGGTTTTTTTTTCTATCCTAAAAATTAAAAACTGAGAAATCTCGCGTCAAAGTTTTCGCTTTCTGCCCAGGGGCTCATTTTTGCTATCGACGAGACGCTCTGTCCCTATTTCCCTTCTAGCTTCGACAATATTTCGAATTCCCATCTATAACTTTGGGGACATATATTTAGATAATTTTAGCAACAAAAAAAAAATCGATTTTTTCTTTAAAAAGATTTACATAACGTCATAAACGTAATTTAACACTTCAATGTGTCTTTATTCATTCGATAAATGTTATCTCTTAAAATTTTCGTCATTAAAAACTTTAGTAGGATTGCTTCGAAATGTATTCATTTGCAAGTTTTGTCACATTAGTAAACAGCTGATTCAAATATGGGTTTTGCGTATGTTCGAAAAGACGAAAATCCAAACAGATTCTGTGACACCCATGCAAATCAGAAATAGTGTGCAATTCTGACGGCTAAGCAATTCTGTCTTAGACTCCATAACACCCGTGATTAATTCAAAATAAAATGGTACAATTTTATGTAATCGTAAATTCTTCCTTGATTTTGCACGTCGATTAACTTACGATAATTATAAATTAAATATGTACGTGACACAGGTGAAAGAGTTGAGTAATTTCTGGCATTATCACCGACTTCTGCCCACCTTTCTTCTTCTTGATTGGCCACCTTTGCTAGACATTAAATATGCTCCATTAAAATCCCTTGAAGTCCATGGTGTAGACATACTATAATAACCTGTCGTATTCAATGTTATAACAAGGCATGCAATATGTCAGACTTATATGTATTTAGGAGTGCAGTCAGGAATTAAACTGATTAATCCATTTTCAGATTATTTTCCTTGTGTTGCCCATTCGTGCAACTTGTGCAACTCAATTTGTAACCGAAACAGTTGACTTTTTCTACTTTTCAGGAACTTTATAATTCTTTTAATATATGAAGACATCTTGTGCATATTATACATATTAGTGCAGATTTGTAATCACTGAAACTCGTTGGTGTTCGATATGATACATGTCACGCATTGGAAAAAGATTGGTCTGAAATAATTATTGCGCTGAAGTTTATTGCTCGAAATTGTGACAGCTACTAGGTCTGAATCTATAAGATTGGAGCGAAAATTATTCATTGTTTGTAATGTTATTAATTGAAGGATTAAAAAATTCGTTTTAAAATATTAATTCAAAAATTTTGTAAATTTCTTATTTATTGTTTAAAATATGTTAGGTAACATGCGATTCCATATTTCCTAATTCTCGCGAAAATTTCTTTTATAAATAATGTATGTATTTTAAAACTTCGAAAACTGTTCCTCAATATCAGCACTATCTAAAATATCTTCACAAATAAACTAATTAGTGCCAAAGATTCATTTCCTTAACTACAGTTTTTTGTGGACTTAAACGGGAAAGCGAGTGATACTGTACATCAGGGTATAACTTTGCCCAAATAGTACCTTTAAGGTTTGCCTTACACCAGCTATCCATATAATAAATACACAGATTTTCATTATTCTAGCAGGTTTTAAGCCGCATGCGTTCCTCAGCTTTAGCTATCTTCTAAAAATGCATGGAAACACATCGTTTTCGAATATATTTAAGTAATGTCTAAAACTTATATATCCGATATAATTATTTCCCGCTTACTACCTTAATTTTTTCCCTTGCTCCAGCAGAATCTTGCTAGAAGATACAATGCTCTTCATCGAAGAGAACTGATTTAATATTCCTTTTAAAACAACCTGTTGGTATACGATTGGGCAGTTTTAGCCCCGCAAACCACCAGCTGGATGGTGACCGCACATTGAAATCTTGGTATAACAGTTTTGAAGTCTTTGGATATTTTTAACGATCGTTTTTATCGTTTTGCTTATTAAAAATTTCTATAACCGCGTGCTACTAAAGAAGATATTGCATCTGTTGCGTCTAATTTGCTTCAATCGCGCAAATAAGTTTCGATTTTGATCAATTTCATTAAGATATACCGCATCTTACCGAAAGTTCGAAAATAACTGAGGTAAATTTTTCAATAGCCTTTTGTTTTTTTTTACAGATCACACGAGAGTCGTGTCAAGTCATGTAGCTTTTATTCTGAGTTTTTGGCATTTATCCCTTTCACAGTTATTAGAAGGAGATTATTTCTCAATTTCCTTAAGTTGCGGTATAAAGTTCCCCCCAAAATTTAACATTTATAAATTATTTCCATTATAAGTAACACTCCGCGAAGAAAAAGACTTTGAGTTGCAAATACGGATATAGAACGAGTTATCGAACATAGGATTCAACGAAAGGGCCATCTGAAACGCAGTCGCGGCCAACATTTGAAAGGGATATCTTCAACAAATAAATGCCAAAGAGCTAATACTAAGTTGAACATTGAACATTGACATTGAAAACACAATTTCTGGACTGTGTAATCAAAGTGGTTTTCGCCGACATTATATGTTTTAGATCCGTTTTCGATAACAATTCACAATTTTTTTGTTTGTTTACATTTAGAGAAGTGAGAAACTCGTTTAATTGAACAATGCGTTTTTACAGAAATGCCACCTAATTTGACTACCTAATCAATAAAAAATATACCTACATGTAAGTATATATTTATTTTTCAGTAATGCTATTTGAACAACATTTTTAACCTCAAACGAAAAACACATAAGGAACAGAATAAGATAGTACACCTATATTTATATTTTATAATTGTTAAAACAATTCATATTGCATAAATACAATATTTACAATCACATTTTTTCGATTTAAAATATATTTTACATTTATATTGTTCCCTTCACTAATTTCTTCGTATACATCGATTTCACATAATATAGTAATAACCAGTGTTACCATTACTAATTTTGCAAACGATCAGAGAAGAAAGAAGAAAAAGAAAGATCGAAACCATATCGGTGATGGACAATAAAAAAATCGCTATTTCCCTTCTTTTGCGATATACCGTTGTTGATTAGCTTTTTGTTTTTGAAGCGCGGCCAAGGTCCCCCAAAGCAAAAAGGCATCCTACTGATGTATGTAAAAAAGGCAGAACACCTCGGTGTTGGTCTGACAATGGCAATTTTTTTAAGCGCTTCCTGTTGCCGTCAACGCAAAAAGGAGTTGGTCCAACCAAGGTTATCCGCCAAAGGATTTCCACGTGAAATAAATACGTTTTAATTATTTCCTGTAATTGGAGTATAATCTGTTTTCTTTATTTCCTTCGGTTCATTTACAAAGATTTCGATAAAGTAACACTAGCTATATTTGTCAGTTTTCAACCGTTTTGTTATTGTGGAAATAAATAGAAATGAAAAAATTAAATATTGAATAGGAGCTATTAAACGTATTTCTGAAGTGTTAGAGTATATAAAAGGCAAATACATTTTACATTTATATTCTGGATTTGGAGAACCTCCTCTATCCACCAATACCTTTTTTACCCTGAAAAACGGTATTCTAAATTTTGCCCAAATAATTTTTTTCCTATTGCTCCTGAACATCAGCCCCTTCCAAAATATATTCATCAATAGACATATGTATATAGTACATTTGTCTAACCGGGGGAAATTAAAGGTATTTTTTTTAACACATATTTATAACTAAATATGAGGGGAACCCAATTAACTGGCTTCAGTTCAGCGTCAGGTTATTCAGTTAAGCACGGAAAATCAATTAACTAGCGTCATATTTGGAGGTACTGTGTTTGTATACGGAATGTAAACAAATAACAAGTGATTACTTAGATATCGCAAAATATGTCTCCCAATCATATGGACTAAAGCAGAATAGGCACAGATTAGATTTCAAATGGTTTTCAATGTGATTTCGACATAATTATTTTACACGGATGTGTAAGTAAGTTTTAGGGAGGAAACCAATTTTTCCTACGAAAACAGGTTTTGATATCGGTCCGAACATAGCATAAACCGATTGACCGATATTTTCAATAAAAATCATATTTTTGCATTGGACTCTACATATTTTTTGTATAGGTCATTGAAAAACAGCTGATGTATCTAAATATTTAATGAAATCATCGTTTGCACAAATATGTAGGTGGAGAGACGTACAGACAGTCACTCGGGTTTCAAATCATCCATAACTTTATATCTATCTTGAAAACTTTTAGGTGAACAGACTAAGTATACTCTGTAGAAATACATATGTTGCAAGAGTATAAAAATAACGACACTTTTGTTTACGGATCTGGCCTTGCCTTGGCCTTTATAAGATGATTAAGTATTTGTTATTTCAATGAAATACATGTACACATACACATAGTATGTGGGTATATTTTCATAAAATATGAGCGTTGAGTATAAATAAAAAAAAAAAATTGGACTGAAGAGTGGCCTAAATACCTTATCTATAATATAATGAATTTAATTTCACTGGTTGATTTTTCTCTTAAATTTCTGTACATAATATATTAAATTTGGTTGAGCTTATTAGCATACATAGCATTTGAGTTGACTAGGTTGATTTTAATATACAAGGGGCGTTCCAAAGTAAACAGGACTTACAAAAAAAAACAGGACAAATGGTTTTTCGGCAAAATCAATTTATTGTATTCAAAATAGTCCCCTTCTGCTTCAATGCAGCTTTTTGTACGGTCCAAAAGCATGTCGAACGAGTGTTTTAGCTCGTTGGCCGGTATGGCCGTTAGTATGCCGGTGCAATGGCCTCCACGTCTGCATAACGCTTTCCTTTCATGGGCAAATGCATTTTTCCGATAAGGAAAAAGTCGCACGGTGCCATATCTGGTGAATACGAGGAGTGGTTGATGGTTAAAATGTGATTTTTGGTCAAATAATCGTCCTTCGAATGTTGGATTCAAATCAATTTTTGGTCGTCAGTCAATTTTGCGGAACAGATCATGCCCACACCTTTCGTAAGCCCAAATGTTCGGTCAAAATGTGAAAAAGAAATATGTTTTGGAAACGTTCAATTCATATTCATGAATTCCATGATGATAGGCAATCATCGCCATAAACTTGTTTAATCAATTGAATCAGTTGGCTCTTTGTTCGAAGCTTATTTTCGCACCGATAACGCAAACATACTGACACTTAAAACGCAATAGCTATAGCTTCACTTCCAATCTATGAAATGTCATGGACTCACTTTACAATCGATAAAGATAGCAGATTCTAACGCACCAGTCGACATATAGATGGCGACACCAGGGCTCGCTGTTTACTTTGGAACGCCACTTGCAAATATCGCCGATATAAAGATAAATATAGTAAAAAGGCTACGACAAAAAATATAAGTTTATAAATTCCAAACATCATTGTGATCACTTCACTACTTCTTTGAATAAAAAAGGTTAAATTCTTTTATAACAGTTTTTTAAATAAAAAAATTTACACACCTGAAAATGCGTAGTAAAAATATTTAAATATTATGCGCAGGTTTAACTAAATATTAGGGCTAGGGGACGAAATTCGACGTCTTATATATAAAATTTATTATTTACATATATTAAGAGTATATATACATAGGTATATTGTTTGGTAGTTAAGTCTTATCAGTTTAGTAATGTTGAAATCTCTTAGTGGAGAATATATTATATATTACCTTTTTGCTTATTTTTAAATTTTCAGGCTTACTACTTCAGTGAATTTACCTACAGAGTTTATTCATTTATATATCAGCAATTGCATCTCTACATGTGAGACTGTTAAGGACAAATATATGCAGTCACGTCTGGTGCGTTTAGTTTGTGTTTTTTTGCAATCACTTATCAGGAACAAAATAATTAATGTCAAAGTAAGTTTCCGCAAATATATTTCTTTTTAATTTCATAAATTTTCATTATTTCTATATATGTATGTATATATGTTTATGGATAAATATGAAGAAAGAGTGGTGGAGAATATTAGTGCGTCGACTTTTCTGTAAATAAATGACCGAACAAATTTTTGACTCACAGACATGACACTATTAGGAAAGGATTCACGCTTTCAATAAAATACTTCAAACGTTTACCGATATTTATGAGAAAAGTTAACAATAGGTATGGGTTCACGTAGTCGGTATCTGGGAACTTGAGTTTTACAATTTTTGGTCATAAGAAAGAGCTCCTTAAAAGCACTATTTACCCCAAGTTATATCATCATATATTCATTAGTTCATGATTTATAAAGGTGGACAGTACTACGCCCATAGTGGTTCTAAAAGTTTTTTTTTTGTATCAATCAGCTAAAGAATTAAGCAATCTGTCGCTTTTTTTTTATTGAGTTATCGCACTTTTAGTAGTTTTCATATGGATAATGATCCGGGGTTATAGTCTGATTTGACAAAGAGATTTGTAATAAGCATAAAAGTTTGATGTAACTTAAGTGGTTAAACATATTAAGTGGCGGCGACATCCCCTCTGGAGTCGTTGTATTAAATAACAGTCTATTTATTTTAAGTTAACTGCACAAAAGCGTTTATCACACTTCCAATTCGGATTAGGTCTGATATAAATTAAGATCTTGAGAATTTCTTTATGTTTTTTGTGGAAGGAAGAATTTATTTCTATACTACTAATCTTTATAAGTCTTAATTAGTAGTTGCGGTTTGTCAAGGATGGCGTAACTTGATTATTAATCCAATATTAATTCTACTGTCCTTGCACGATTTTTTCAGTTTACATATGTACATATGTCTTTCATTTTAAGCGTAAACGACAACAACCCCAAATAAAATTTTAGAAATATACATATGTATACATTAATTTCAAATCCGTCCAATATATTTTTTTTTATTCTATTTGCAGGAATTATTAATTGAAATCGAAGCTTTCTGCGTAGGTTTCAGCCGAATAAAAGAAGCTGTAGGTTTATATAGGCTTCTAAAGAATTTGGAACTTGGGGAACATGGCTCTAGTGCCAACAACGGAAGTTTAACTTATTCTACGAACAAAAATGAAACTATATCTCCAAAATAATTTTATTTATATTTTACGAGTAAAGTAAATTGTTTTGAGATGCTAACAAGTAATTAAAATAAAATAGTGTTGTCTTTGCATATACATATCTTATATAGTATACAGTGCACAAAACAAAAACAAACTTCTACAGGAAGATGGTTTGACTATGAACTGACTTGTCTTCTAAACTATAAGAACTTTTTAGTTTCATTCACTAATGTATAAAAGTCGCTTCATTTATTTTTATAATGTTATTGAAATTTATTACTGAAAATCCAGTGTGCTTAAAAAATTAAAAAAATCCATAATAATTTAATTTTCGAAGACCAAATAGACTTGTACAGGTTACATAAAACGAAATCCTTTCAGGAAAATTACTACTTTGTATGTGCAATAGACACTATTGAAATTGAATTGTTATTTATCGGTCAGCGGTTAGACTTCTTTACGTCAAATAAATCAACGACCATCAGATCTGTCATCTGTAAAAAGTATTACTCTTTCGAATGTAGAAAATATTTTACAATATTTCTCTTCGATAAGTGTCTTTAATTTTATCTTAAGGCGTGTAATATGTTTTTGGGCCTCTACTGTACTTCATATAGCCTTTCTTTTTCAATTAGCAATAGTTACATAATTAATTTAACAGGGAGTAGAGTTATCAATGCTTTATTGGGATTGTACGATTGTGAACGGTTTGTTTGACTCCAAATCAGAGATAGGTACAATCAGCACTGGGTTATAATTAGAGAAGAGGGAGAGATATATCCCCCGATATTTATAGGAGTACAAAGGAATGTAAAGTAACGTAACTTTAAAGTAAGAATTAACAAAGATACTAAGAAACGGAAATGAAATGTATTCTAAAAGAGAGATTATAAATAGAAAGTTGTGATGAAACAGAATTGCCAGATAAGACTTAACATTATTAGAAAATGAACTTAAACATAACATAAATAGTCTTAAACATACTACCCGGTCGAGTCGGTTGAATCGAAATCCATTTTCTCTAGGAATAGGCATAGTTTCAGGAAATATCATTGAACACGCATATTTATCAATAAAGCCGAAATATAATTAAAAATAAATATCATTTTCAAGGTACATACATACATATGTATGTACATATGTACATAAACATAGTCAAGCATTTACATGAAATGCACTTCAAATAATAAAAAAAATTCATGGGACAAAAGTCATAAAGTTACAGAACAGATAACATTAAAGACACACACACATACATGTATTAAATTATTTACTTGAAAATAACCCCATGTCAAGCAGCAATAAATAATATGCTGCAATACAAACAAACATATACACATACACATGTATTTATTTATTTAAGATAGTTTTAAAATTTGTATATAAGCAATGAATACACAAAATAAAACCCAGAATGAATATATTCTCCCTTGATATCAGTCTATCATTGCCCCCCACCAGTGGTAAGGATTGTTAGATACTGTATTTAGGAATTAACATTTGGTTCTATCGAGCCTAAAATAAAAAAGAGCTCAGCCAAATTTAAAAAAGCTCTGATATTATAAAAAATACAGGCAAATAAAAATAAGTAAGCCCTGTTTTTAATATAAATACAGGCAAAATTAAATTGAAAGACGGGTGTATATTCCCGCATATTGATTAAATAAAAATATTTGCAAGACGGGTGTATATTCCCGCATTAAACTCGATCGCATAAGCCGTTTTAGCAGAGACTAAACGCAGTGATCTAACTGCTATCCAAGAGATATTCAGAAAAGTACCAAAAAGAACTCGATACTAACCACGAGCTAATGGCAGATGGCATAGGAGATGAAGATTACTTCAAGAAGAGTCTTAACACTATGATTAAAATCGAAGAGGCAATCAATGCATTAAAGATAAGCATTGTAAAAGACAAACCTCTAGTCGAATTTGATCAGCAAATTGAAGCAGTTCAAATACGATGCAATAATCAGGATCAAAAGACTTCCATATTCATGAGGAAAATTGAAAACCTCAGAAGAAAAATGGAAGATCTAAGCACGGAATGAGTGATCGACAACATTCAAATAAAGGGCTTAGACTTTTTATTCATAGACGTCCAAAATCTAAAAAGTAAATTAGATTTTAGTGTAGAAATTGAAGACATATTCGAAAAAATATATGACGAATATTACGAAGAACTTCAGAATTTAAAAAAGAAATTAAAAAAAGAAGAGCATAAAATTTCTTATCGCCCTAACTTGGATTTAGAAAAATTAAAAATTCCAATATTTTATGGCGATATAGAAGAATGGGCAAATTTTTATAACGTGTTCCAAGAAATGGTACACAATAACGAGCACTTGCCGAGCGCAGAAAAAATGCTGCGTCTTCGTCTCTGCTTAAAAGGCGAAGCTGCGCGATTAATACAGCACCTACAAATTTCAACAAAAAATTATGAAGCTGCATGGAGTCTGCTAAAACAAAGATATGACAACCAAAGAATTCTGTACACAACACAATGGGATAGAATAATGGATCAACCAAATATAAATAGTGACAATGCTGAAAGCGTGAGGCAACTATGAGATACAACAAATGAGTGTCTCAACGCTATAGAGTCACTGGGAATAAGCATTGAACAAGCTGATCCATTTATTGCGCGTGAAATTGTCCGGAAGTTAGACAAAGAAGGACTGAAATTATATGAGCAAACAGTTAAAAAGACGAGAGAAATACAACAATTATCGGACATCAGAAATTTTTTGGATCAACACTTTCAAACATTGAAAGCAATAGCTGATAAAGAACATCTTAGTAAAAATCGTAAACAACATATGTTTAAAGTTAATAATACCTTGAATAATACAAGGCAGCCAATCAAGATGTGTTCCTATTGTAAAATTATAGGTCACACTTTATTGCAATGCAGAAGATTCAAAACCATAACCATTGATGATAGACGATAAGGCGCAATTTGACAACGTTGTTTGGTTCTTTAATAAATATAAGTAAAATACTTATGAGTGGAATGCATTGTGTTTTATTTGTGTACTAATTAACAACTTAAAATTATTCATAAGTAAAAAAAAAAAAAAAATCTAATTACTCTGTTTTACAGCCATATTCATATTTAAGACTAAATACTATCATCTTATCTGTCTAAAAACTTTTGAAGCATATCTCTAAGGCAGGCTAGCCATGGTTTGTATTCTCTCGCGCTCTATTTGCATCTTTTCCCGTTCAAGCTCTATAATCTGATCGTGCCTTTCCTTTTCATTTTTAGCTTCTTCCTTAAGGAATTCCAGAGACTCATTGGCACTGATTGTCCTACGCCTTCTGCCGAGATTGGTCGATGTTGTGTTGTTCGAGGTTCCTGGAGAGTCATTCAAAACCCCAATATCTTCCACCACATTGGCAGCATCCCTTGTACTTGGCAGTGACAAAGACGAATGCAAATTCTCAGGAGGCGTACTAATGGAATGTCTGGTTCGATACACATCGTCAAATTCTTCAAGAAACCCCCAAGCACTTGCAGCACGCCCTGTTAAGCTATTTCGCTTTTTAATTCTTTTATATGTGCAGAAGAGATTCACAAATTTACGGGAAATCTCATCCCGTGATAAATTAAATTCTGGAACTTTTTCTTTAATTATTTCAAGAATTCTCCCCCACAGGAATGATTTTTTTTCCTTCCTCCCTGGAACTCCGACACCATGTCCAGCCTTGTTCGTATTAAAATTTTTATATAATTTGCTGGAAATTCGTGGGATCTAAATGTAAATACGGCCTATTATTATTATATAATCATATTAATAATTAAAGACATCTATAGAATTAGAAATTATTTTACTCACTCTTCCATTTCACCTTTGGTTTAAAAAAAAATTACTGCAATGGCTGCGACAATTTGTCGAAGTGCTGCCAAATGCATTAAAAAACTTTTGACTAAGAGCAGTATTGCCGCAGGTTTTTTTGACGAACGCGTTTCCCCTGAAAATATGCAGTGCAACCAAGTTACTGCGTTTACGAACTAATCCTTTTTACTATTTTTGTATTCATTTCTTCGAATTTTTAAAATTTTGTTTGCAAAGAACGTAACTCTTGCAAGATCGTTTGTATTTATACTTTAGCACTGACCACAAACTGCAGAAGACACAAAACCAATGAACCAGATGTCAACAACTTCTTTTTCTATTCTGTTGTTTTCATCTAATTTCATTTTGCAGTCGCTGCGACTTCAACGTCGGTGATCGCGTTCAACAATCTTTAATTTAAAGCCTGGAAGTGACTTAAAAGTGACGCATTTGGCGTTTGACACGTGAACGCGACAACTATCTTTATTTTAACGTACGTACGGAAGTGTGTATTAAAAATCCTATACCGAATATAAGGGCACGAGAGCACCCATTGCAGAATCTAGTGATATATGAACAGCCGATTCGATCAATTTATTGTGAATGACTAATATGCATGGCTATTGTGAATTAGCGCCCCTTCTGCATACATTTTTAACAAAAAAAAAATCGTAACAAATCTTTATAATTTAAGTAAAAATTTTAAAATCTATTTAAAACTTACCTTCCTCAACACTTTAACAGTGAAATATGTAGGTATGATTTATGCCTTTATGTAAAATGAAAACTAAAACAGGGTTGCAATTATATTTTTACGTGTCATTGCACGCAAATAAACATGGGTTTTGGTCTGACATATTTTACAGCCATTGCAAATAATTTTCTGCTTGCGTTTGTTGTTGTGCCGTTGCATTAGGTGGAAAAATCTGCAACTCGTGCACCGTGCAAGGGTTTTGCCAGAGCAAGAGAATACCTCTATTGTTCGTGCTGTATCAAACCAGTTGACGACAGTGATTACTTGATTTGATCAACAACGTTGTCTATGATGAACTGAATTGATTTGATTGCGTTTTCGGAACGAGTGTTTCTTCGGATTTAATCATACTCGTTGCAGCTCTCTGCATGGCACCTTCCGAGACATGATGAGTGGCAATTGAGCTCCGCCATGAAATCAACTCGTCTACAATTACAAAAGAAATTTTAAAAAATTTGTTCTTACAAAATGCACCAAAATGTAGAGGGTATTCTCAATGCTTCATTGGGTTTATACGATTGTGAACGATTTGTTTCAAATTAAAGAACCCACATAATAAAAATACAGCTGACGTTTTCATCCAACAGTAACGCCGAAATCTATATACATACATATATGAAACGGTTTTCAAAATGGAGAAAGTGCATATATTTTGGATGAAGTTAGATGATTTTCCGTATTGGAACCACTAAACAAAATTAATTTAAACGAAAAATATTACACAAATATTCATTGTGTGAGGGTTTGGTTATGCAAACTGCGCAGTACTGGCATCCTTGAAAGTTCGAAAAAAAAATCATTGCCGTTGCTAATTCACAAAGACGCACAACCCTTGCAACATTTGAAAAGTATTCGCAATTAATAATTTTCTATTTTAGACGATTCGTTCTATTTTTGGACTTTTGAATCGCAATGGACAATTTTGGATTTCTAATTCGTCGGTGAGAGTATTAATAGGAAAGATTTATTTTTCCCATTATTTTATATTTGAAAATGCACAGTCTTTAGCAATTATATGCAAGGGCATCAGCTAGCATAAATTTAACAGTAAAAATTAGGTGTTGACATGTTTTTTGACAAAAAATAAAAACAAAGGTTTTTTTAACGATTTTTTTTGTTAAATTTAATTTTTCAGTGAAAAATGTGCTTACTTGTTGGCACTACAGCTGTTGTGCTTTATTTCTTACACGCTTTGCGAAGCATTTGGCGAAATGTGGTGATGATTTTACTGAAAAGACTGATTTTTGTGGGTCAAAAAATTCAGTTTTCTGTCCCAAAAGAAAATCTAGTTTCAAAAATCCTTCGTTTGAGTATCAGATATAGATGAGATACTTAGATCGACAGGTCACATTGTTCTTGAGAAATCTTGTCCTTTTTTAAAATCATCTTTATGGATATAATCGCATTTAAAGTACGGCACATACTCGGGGGAACATGGTAGAAGCGCTGTGTGGAAAGCTGTAACATTAGTTTTAGTGCTCAGATCTCTATGAAATTTGAAAGAAATAATCTTAAAAGGTTATACTTTAAGAAAATGCAATAAAAATATCGATTTTTCCAATCAGCACAAGTGTATATAACCCCTTAATACATTACCGAAAAAACTCAATTTATTCATTTTATTAAAAAGTATTTCGCAACAAAAAGAAAAATGCAAAAACAAATATTCAAAAATTCAAAAGCTCTTTAAGGACGAACGATTTCAGTAAGATTAATTTTGGTAATGTATTCAATAAGAAAAAAGAATATCAATTGCAGAAACTAGTGACATATGAATAGCTGATTCGGTCAATTTATTTTAAATTACTATTGTGAATTGCGCACCTTTATAATTCAAAGAAAAATTATAGAATCTATTTAAAACTTCTTTTTTTCTTTAAGATCCGCATCCAGCTCTTAAGTAATTGCTCAAGAAAAAACATACATTAATTCTTGAAGTAATTTTGACAGCTGCTGTGAATCATCTTCATTACAAGAGAACAAGTAAGACAATAAGCTTTGTGTGTAATATGTTCATATGTTTGTATGTATGTGTGTAGTAACATAAATATTTTCATTCCGATTTACGGAATATGTTGTTGATTGGTAAGTTTTATACAACATTTCAAAATTAACTATACTTCATAATAATGCTTTTAACTAATTTAGGATGAATTTAACTTTGAATTTCCTTCAAGAAACAATTGTTGATTAATTGTTTCTTCGCGAAACCAGGATTGCCAAATTCGCATTCATTGAAAACAAGTATTAAAAGTTAGTACTAGATTTCTTTAGAGCTGCATACTATTCCTGCGGAAAATTTTCTTGACCATTAACTAAGCGTTTTTTTTATATGAAGTTTTTACATTTCTTGAGCGCGGGATCCTAAGCTTTAATATCGTAGTCGACGGTTACGCGGTTATAATAATAATACCCAACGATTACCCTCCTCCGGCCCAACCGACGCTCGGGGCGCAATCCGCAAACGAGCGGAATTAGCCGACTTATAAAAGGCAAGAGAGTTTTAAGCGTTGCGATCTTAAGCTGCTCAGCTACAGAAACCAAAATTTCAACAGCCAAAATTAAGAATTAGATTAAAGTTTATAATTTTTAAATGTTACTTGCTACGAGTAGATAAAATATTTTTTTTAATGGTATAGAGAGAATCTGTTAGGTCAAATGTGCTGGAATGAGAATTGAAATCATGACATATACGGCGGAATGGTTCGATTAACTCGAAATTTGTTCTAGAAAAWTTTAAAAGCAAAGGTTTAAACTGCCTGGTAGAGCGAGCGGGAATGTTAAAATTAATATCAGACAAGAGAGATGGGCTACAGACTRACCCATTGATGAGTTTTACAAGAAATATTATACCAAGCATTTCCCTACGACTAGCGAGTGTACGGAGATTTATAAGTTTTAAACGGTTAGTGTAAGGGGGAAGGTTTAAACTGGAATCCCAATGCAAATTTAAGGCAAAAGGTAAAAACTGTTTTTGAACGGACTCTATTTTCTCAAAATGGACTTGATAACAGGGTTCCATACCACGGAAGCATACTCTAATATAGGCCTCACCAA